TGTTTACTAAATTCAGCAAATAAAACTATTATTTGCCATGGTCAAAAGGATCATTGGCATACTTGCATAGAATATGCATGTAGTGAGTAAATAACTGAAAGCCTTAAGGAAAAACAAAATTGAGGAAAATGAAACTGAGTTATGTAACTTGCATAGTTTTCAGTCATGCTTGGCTCTCAGTGGAAATGTCATGAAATGGCATTCATTGTGTGGCAAATTGAACTGAAATAATTATGTCTGAACTTTATTTGCTTGTGTTTTGAATTTCTGAACAAATTGAGATCATTCCTGAGTTTGCCTGGTGTACTCCTGAAAATATTGGGGATTCATTTTTTAAAATCCTTTGCTCTAATACTTGTGTGTATTTTATGTCACTTATTTTTTTGCAGAACTATTCCTTTATTTGTGATGCTTATATCAAACAAGAAATTACTTTAAATTAATTAGAGGAGCTAAGGCAGATGAAACAGACGAAATGATATTTAGAATGCTGCTGAAAGGCAACAAGGTATGAAATTGAGTTACTCTTAGGCCAATCTTGTAGCAGTAAGAGTGAAGAAATGTCAGCATTTCTCCACATTTATTGTGTCTGTGGATAGCTGCTCAAAAGCTTTGTTTAAGGCAATCCAGGCTCTCCTGGGAAGCTTGGAAGTTTATTTGCAAGATTGCTGTGAGGAATATCTGCTGGATAAAGTCACTTCGATTCACCCCAAATTGGACTCTAGCATTGAAGCAAAAGTGATTAGATTCAGTCTGACTTGATTACCTAGGAGGGGTTTGATCCTGTTGGTCCTGATAGGGTTCTCGTGGCTACTAGCTCAGCCACCTGTATGTTAGACCCTTCCTACTTGACTAAGCCTCTTGGAAGGCAACATGTTTCCAGGTTATAGTGGTGGTGAATTTGTTTTTAACAGAGGAAGTTGTATCACAAGAGGGGGTAGCTTGTCCTAAAGAAGCAGTCACTAGGCCCAATTGTGCTGTACAATTTTCACCTAGTATCCGATCTTTCTTTAGGAAAGATTTATTGTGGCAGCTCCAAAGAACCCTAGAAGAAGCATGTCATCTGGACCTCTTTCAGTTTGAACTTGGACCTGGATGTGGGACCAAGACAGTGTTGATTACGCTTGTAGATGACCACAGGTGCAAGTGGGATGGAAGTGGTGCACCTCTGTTTACAGTTCTGGAATTCTTAATGGCTTTCAGTACCAATTATCATGATACCCTGCTGGATAGGCTTTGCACGGCTTCATGTTGAATGCCCATTGTATCTGTTCCTAGACTGGAAGTATTCGTCACTTGTGCTTATAGTCATCTCTCAGTGGTCTGCTGCAATGTGCTTTACAATGCTCTACCCTTAAAGAACATCTTAAAGTTGCACCTGATTCAACATCCAGTGGTGTGAGGAAGTTACGTTTCCTTCTCAATCAGCGCATGTTACACTTCTGCTCTGAGAACTGAATTGTTGCCCGATTGTTTCCCGATTCAATTTAAACTATCGGTAGTTATCAGTAAAGCTCCCCATGGCCCTGGGCCAGGTTATTTAAAAGGCCACTTTTCCCTGATTGTGGTTATCAATCCCATCATATCTGGCAGATGAGCCATGCTTCAGGTCCCACCAATTAGAGAAGTCCATCTGGTGGACCCAGAAATAGAGCTTGTTATGTTGATGTTGGACTACAGTGTTCTTTATCATTGCATCTCAGCTACTGATTTCGTATTGTGGTTAACTGCGCAGAGTCCCCCCAAAATGGGGCATATACAATGAAATAAATACAATACAACACCTTAACCATGGTCAATAATAACAATAACCCTAGAGTACAATATAGCATAGAGCAGAAGAACAGAACTGAACTAAGGATGAAGAAAGGCCAAAGTTGTGGAATAGATAATGTACAGTTGATTTATATAATTTATATGGTTGAAAAATGGTGCTTGGTTTGATTGCTAGTACAGAAGCCTTTTTCATCTGTATAGAAAAAGATGAACCACATCGGAAGCAAATCTATAGAAATATGCTTCCTGTAGAATACCTATAATTGTAGAACGTCTATAAACTGAATGGATTTATATTTGTGTTTGTGTGGGAAATACGCATTAAAATGTATTTTCTGAGTCAGTTGTTCGCTTCCAGTAAAGCTGGCTTTCTATATAGTAATATTTCACTTGCCAATTATATTTGTCACTCTCATAAGAAATTAACTCTTTTACTTATTGGCAAGGTCATTCAAATTTATATTATTGCACATTTTTATCAGAAAACATAAATAGAAGTCTTCTAGATGCTTGTGAATTTACCAAGGGGAGGAAAAGTCTTCTTAATAAAATAATTGGCTGTACTTGGAAAGCACACAAAATGCATAAACTCTGCTTGACTTTGGCAGCCCAACTGGAAAATCCTCCCCTGCATTCCTGCAGTTGTGATGAATTGCTGGAGAGTCTCGCTGTCCGTCACACTATATTGGCTAGTGAAGTAGCCGGCCTTGTTTTTCTGTAGTGTTTTCTAGAATTCATTCTGAAGAAATCCCATCAGTGAAGGTTAATCTATATTCATGATGAAAGTATGTTCCTTTCCCAAATTCTGTTCCCAGAGAAGTGAGAATGTTGTTTTACGAGGAGCCAAAAATCAAAGCCCCTTGAAAATGGGTGTGTATTTACTCTAGACAGAAGTCCTTATTTGCCAAGACTAGCACCTTACAACAAGCCTTTAATGGAGCTTTGAATCAGGGATAAAGTGTTTTAACTCTTTATTAGCTTTACTGGTATTTTGTCAAAGTAACATGGGAAAAACCAAGCTGTTCTCAAAACGAAGAGTTTTCCCCCTTTCTATAAAGGGAGTTGAAGTCTGTACACCTTAAAGTTGCTTAGATTGACAAATACTGCCATAGAGTAAAGCTAATATAAAGACAAGTCTCATACCAAATTATAACAGAAAAAATTGGGGTGGGGGTGAGAGGAATCAAGATAACAAAGCTACATAACTCACTTCCAAAAATTTTGTGTCATTTTAAAAGTTGATAAATTTATTATTGCATGATACCTTGGCAGAAAAGTTTATAAATTTGTTTAAAAAGTATGAGTCTTCATTTTTAAAAAAGAATGTAAAGGAAAGGTAAATAGAGATTGATATGAACAAAACACAGTGGAAATGGGCAGCTCATGCTACAGAGTTTTATAATTTCCAAGAATAATAGAATTTATTGGAACAATTAAAGGGCAATTTGTATTGGTTGTGGATATGTTAGTATTATTGAAGTATGGCATGTAGGGTTTGATTTCGACCTGACAACATTTTGACAATTTACAGACTATTAGTTAAATATAATATGTTTCTTTTTTGCTTAGCTATCATTTTTATGGTCAGAGTCAGGAGAAGATTCAGTCAAGTGCCAGCTATTAGTTTGTACGCATAATAAAATTACTGTTATGGAGAAGGGATAAAAAACGTTTAAGAGATTTGTTGGTTTAGATTAGTGGTTCCCAAAGTGGGCGGTACCACCCCATGGGGAGTGGTGGGATGCCTTAGGGGGTGCTAAGAGTTCAAGGTGCCGGCCGGCCCTGCAGGTTCTCCCATTGAGGCTCCAGCTCTGGAGCGGTGCTACAGTCAATGGGTGAACCTGCCTTGAATGCCCCCCTGCTGCCTCTTAGCATGCCCAAGGGGGCCAGCAGAGGGGCACTAAGTGGTGACAGGGGGCGGCGCATCGAATGCGGGGGCAGCGCATCGAATGCAGCTGCGGCAGCATGTAACATGCCGCTGCTTCCGCATTGGAGGTGCCGGCTCTGGAGCTGTGCTAGTCAATGGGTAAACCTGCAGGGCTGGCCAGCGCTTCGAATGTCCCCCTGCCACCTCTTAGCGCCCCTCTGCCGCCCCCCTTGGGGATGCGGCGTTCAAGGCACCGGCCATCCCTGCAGTTTCATCCATTGATTAGCACCGCTTCGGAGCCGGTGCCTCCAATGCGGCAGCATGTTGGGAAAAGCCGCCACCACCGCTTTCACAAAGTGCCGCCACTGTTGCATTCTGTCTGTCCGTCCATCCATCCATCCATCCATCCAAAAGGTCTGTCTGTTTGCCTGCCTGCCTGCCTGCCTGCCTGCCTGTCTCTCTCTCTCTATCCATCCATCCATCCATGTTCGAAGCACCGGCCCCGCAGGCACATCGGGAAAGTAGAGCAAAGCCAGTCTGGGAGGGAGGGAAAGAAAGAGAGACCTTATGCATCAGATTGAATGAGGCCTAGTTTAGACTGAGGCCCTTTTCCACATTGAAATATTGAAACCTCTTTGGCTTCTATTAAAGGTTTTGTGGACAAAACATGGTCAAGACTATCAGGAAGCTTCCACATTTTGTTGAGTTTTTAAACAGGATCCATTGGACCAGATCTGCACCCTAAAAATTAGAAGAAGGCAAAAGCAAAATGTACTGGTAAATTACAAGGAAAACACACACACACACACTCCCTTCTAACCCCGCTGGAACAGGTGATTGGACTAGAATAGATATCTTATTATCTTTCTCCTCCCTCCCTCCCTCCTTCTTTATTTCTTTTTCTTTCTGTCCCTTCCTTCCATCCCCCCTTCTTTGTCCCTTTTTCTTCCTTTCCCTCTTTCTTTTCTTCCCCTCTTTCTCTCTCTCTTTCTTTTCTCTCTCTCTTTCCCTCTCTCAGGCTAATCTCTTTGGATCAGGGGTCACCAAACTTTTGACCTCAGGGACCACCAAACTCATAATTTAAAATGCCGGAGACCACTAATATGAATTTTGACTGACTGGCTTTCTGGCGTTGGTGTGAGAGAGAGAGAGAGAGAGAGAGAGAGATCGATCAGATCCAACCTCTTTCTTTATCTGTCTCACACATACACATAGGAGTGGGATTTAGACCCCTGATCTAAAGCTGTCAAAACTCCAAAAACAGGTCAAGTAGCTCTGGGGAGGCCAGTCATAAATTAGAACACTTGCTAAACAACCGACCATTAAGTGAGGACCACTTGTATTTGGTTTACTAGTCACCTGGCCACGCCTACCCAGTCACATGACCAGCAAGACACACCCATCCAGACACATGACCAGCAAGTCACACCCTTAAAATAGGCCACGCCCACAGAAATTTGAATCCCACCACTGGGTGGGGGGCACTGAGGATGAGTTTGTAGCACCAAGGGGGCGGTGGACCGAAAAAGTTTGGGAACTCATTGGTTTAGATGTTTGCAATTTTTCATTGTTTCGTTATTTTAAAATGTGAAATTCTATTAAATAATGCGTTGGTGGTTCAAAAAAGTAAGAAGTATTACTATTCATAGGGATTTTTCTGATTTAACCATGAAAACAACAGTAGGTGGCAGAATAGCTACATCTAAAGAACTTATTTCTGTTTGCATTGAATTGATATAATGTTGAAAGAAAAATCTTCTATATTTAGAACTGGATTTGTCAGATAATTCATTTTAGAATTCTACAAACCAGGATGATTTTTAAAAAGTTGTTATGAAGCCCATATCTTCCTTACATTTTCGGTTATATTCCATCCAGATTATTATTTTTATAAATTTTATAGCCTACTTTCTGATAATGCATTTAATGCACCTACATTATAAACACATGTATTAAAGTTCTATAGGACATTAATATTATAATCTGCAAAGTATAAAAAAGATTTTTTGAAAAGTATTATTGATGAAATTGTTGTAATTGCTTATTGACTAAGCCATCCGCATCATAATTTATCAACTATGTTTATATAACTCAGTATACTTTACTAGATGAGAATCTGAACATGTTTCATTTTTTTATTCTTAAAGTTCTATGTCTTACTGCTCCATATGTTTCTTTTTATAGATCAAAAATAGTCCAAGTCATTTGAAAGGGTTTTTTTTCCTTCTATTTTCCTATCCCCTTTCCATTAAAGAAATATTTCAGTTTTTTCACCTTAGTGATATCTTCCATTTCTTCCAAATCTTTTCTCTTCCTTTTTTTACTTTAAACAACATCAACCTCTCATTTCCCCCCAGCATTCAAATACTGTATGCTACTGTTCTTTTTATCTTCAGAAGCTATCACTTACTCTCTCCTTCCTTTTGTTCCAAGTCACTTGAAGAAGTGGTCTACTTACACCCTCTGTAATACATTTCTCTCCTCTGATTGCTCTCTTGGCCCCTTTTGGTCTTCTACAAAACCAGTTCTTGCAAAATCACCAATGGCCTTCTGGCTGCTAAACCAATGGTTGTATTTTCGGTCTTCTTCTACTTGATCTTTTACCAACTATTGATGTTCGGGTTACTCCTTCTGCAACCAATTCTGCACTTTTTAACTTTCAGTGATGGTTTGTCTTCCCTTACCTAGCTCGGACCCTCACCTGTAATTTACAGAAGACTTTCCTTCTAGTACATGGTAATATGTAATCATTATCTACAACCACAACAAGAGCAGAATAATAAAAATGACTATTTAAAAGGTAAAATTGGTTTACCTTCTTTTTAGTATGTGGCATGTCTGGTGGATAAGGATTCTTTATTACCTCTATTCCTCTGTCAACATTGGATTGTAAATAATCTAAACGACTCTTTATTACTAGAAATAAAAAGCCAGGTGTTTTATAATAAAATAGTTATCATCCTCTTTCTACTTTTTAAAATATGGTTTATTCATAAAGGAATTAATACCTCCAGTTTCCCTTCCTTAGTTTAAATCACACATTAACAAAGCTACTATTAGTTCTGGAGTGAAGGGAGCATAGATACAGCATCTTTACTGATCTCTTCACTCACCTGATAATTATTGGAAGGCAGATCGGGGAGAGATTTGAACTGTTTCTTCTCAGTATTTTTCCTAACCTCAAAAATGACCATTTAAAAGTGCTGATTAGTTGTATTTGTTATCTTGAGGAAAATACAGTATAAACATACATTTCCTAATTTATCTCTAGTTTAGGCCTAGGTAGCAATCTTCAAAAAGTGTGTGAGAGGTTTCTTGGAATGTATGTCAATAAACCCATTTTGTATTTCAACTTATCACATTCTCAAAAAAAATCCCCAAACTAAAGAAATCTCTTCCCATTAATAAACATCTTTAAAGCCTGGTCATTCAGTCCTGGTCAAAAAGAAATAGCTACCATTAATAGCTACCAGAAACCACAACACATGAATTTTAAGCTGGTCAAATAAGTTCACTTTATATTTCTTCAGTTTACATTAAAAAAGCTTGACCTTTAATCCTGCAAAGTAATTGTTCTCCAGATGAGCTGTTCAGAGCATCCATTGTTTGGGATGATGCTTCTGTCTCTCGTCTGATAGGCTGGGCTTTAATTGAGAGGATGCTCCTCCTCCTCCACTGGACTCCTCCCTAGCGTCCCCAGTTTTTGCTCAGCCTTCATGGATATAGGCAGCTTAATTTCCTTTCCCTTGGCCGGAACAGCAAAGGCTTCAAAAGGAACAAAAAGGTTTGCTTTTAAACTCTAAACAAATCCTTTAAGGCTTTTAGTTTCAATGAGTCAAGCAGCTCCCTACGGTATATAACTCGAGCCAAGGGAGCTCACCGTAGCTTCAGATAATGATCTCTCACCCCCCAGGACGATCGGAGGTGATAACGCCTCGGACGCGTGGCTAACAACTCACATTTCTTAGCCCGTACCATGACGATCTTTTCAAGCTGAGCAGCTACGATCGCTGCCGCCCACGCCTGATGGGAGAGGCTCCATTTTAAAAGGGCCCAAGGCTTCTTTCTCCCCCCTGGAAACACCATCTGGGGTGGGGGCATCTGTGCCCATCTGCCCCACAGTGCCTTTTTATTCAAGGGGAAATTCTTCAGTATCAACTCCCCACAAGGCGTGGAAGTGCTGCTAAGCCGATTTAACTCATTATGCACCTAAAGAGATAATGGCTGGCGCCATTGCAGACTCACTAACCATGTGGTAGTGATCTGCATTTTATTTCTGGAACTGTGAGAGGCTTTTCTTTCCCCAAGCAGGGGTCTTCCTTCCTGTAGGTATGTATGTATGTATATAGATATGCAGATATAATTATTCTATTTTGGACCCTTATTCATTAAGGAGGAAACTGTTGGCTTATGCCCCCACAGAATTAAACAGCAGCACCATAGCGAGCACCAAGGCCCGTGTCCGCCTGTGCAGGAAGCTGTCGCAGGTCTACATCTTATTTCAACAATTCCTCTTTTCTAGGCCTATGAGGTGTTCCAAATTTGGCTAATTTGGAAATAATAATATTAATAACAAAATAATAATAGCGATAATAATAATAGGAACAAGAATAAGAATTCAATATTCTTACATAAGATTATACAAAACTGGGGAGCATTGTTTTAGGGTTTCCTGGCCATTGCTGGTTCAGGCCCCTGGGTGTGCCAACTGCCCAACATTTCAGCCTCATTAACAGTAAAATTTAATAAGCGGTCACAATGGCAAGCGGCAGTAGCTGAAGAGCCATATCAAATTCTCAAAACAAATTGAAGCATTCTAGGAGTACCTCCTAAGCAGCAGAAAAAGATGCTAACAAGTGCCAAAAAGTACTAGAAAAGCACATGAAGAAGTTCATGTGGGAGGATGAAGAAAATCTCAAACCTCATCTCCTCCAGCCCTACTTCAGCTCCAGTCCCCCCTGCAACCATCCCTGGATCTGTCTGTGTAATCCGGACGCAGCACAGCTGCACAAGATCAGGTAGCCCATCTGGATCAGTACAAGTAACTCGAAGGGCCTCTGTGGCAACATTGCTCCAACAGCAGCCAGAATCTGTCAAGATGATGACTTACCGGAAAAGATCCCTGCAAAGATGAGACTGTGGGTGGAATTCGCAATACGCCAATGTATCTCTGCGGGGGTGCAGCATACTGCTCTAGACAACAACAGTGCTCCTTCCGATTGGAATTCCCTATAACTCCGGTCATTAAGCAGGACAGAGCATCCTTACCCTCAGGTACCTCTCCACAGGAGATTCTGTAGTTTCAGATATACTCCCGCAAGGTATATAGAAGGAGTAAGGGCTATTGATCGGGTGGAGCCAGAGGACTCAGAGTTCTGCTCAAATTCTCAAATTCTAGTTAGATTTGCATAGGCTCACAATAAGAGGTGATGTGTTGAGGTAATTCCCCATTAGGAGAATGAGCGCATACAGGGAGATGTATTTGAGAGGAGTGTTTGAATAATACATATACAGCACACAGGTACACTGTACAGTAAATGTAGGTTTTTACTTCCAGAAATGTTAAGCAAAGTCCAAAATAAGCAATCCAAAGTCATTCACAAGTTAAATCAGTCAGTTTTCAATCCAGGGATAATCCAAATATCAAATTCCAGTGTCAAAAAACAGTTCAGTAACAGACTTACATTAAATCCAGTAATATCTGTCAATTAGAAGAAATGGAGGAACGGCAATACTTTCCAACAGAAGGAAACAGAGACTGACTCACACTCTCTTCTGAGACTAAGACTAAACAACCCAGGTTTCTGGCTCCATCTTATGGCGGTTTGAGAAACCACATCTAATTACTGTTTTGCATTTTCTTAAAGATACAGTTTTAAAATGTTTATCCTGGTTTATATATTTCTAACCCAAATACCTGTTAGGTGACTTATATTGCTAACATGATGGTTGATGCTACATCTTGACAACTAAAACAATGCCAGCATCTTTTTGTTTATAAGAATTCCATGGCATTATCTATTGAGAGGCCACTTCCCCTCACAAGGATTTCTCCATGAGGGTCCAGGGGACATTTATGCCTATTGCGGACCTCTTTCCGAGGCTGACTGTCGGGCTTCCTTTTTAAGTTGGCAGCCCTCACAGAATATCGCAGCACAGTAACAGCGAGCGCCAAGGCCTGTATCCGCCTGGGCAGGAAGCTGTTGAGGGCCAGTGACTGTAGGATCACCCAATTGCAATACAGGTCCTGAAAGGTGTTTTCTATTTGGCTTCACAATTTGATTCCATATTCAGTCATCTAATTATGAGTTTGGTAACAGCACAACAATTTATGTTAGTAGCTGTGCACAGATATAACAAAAATATTGTCAATAATAGCACAATATTAATGATATCAATATTATTATGAATAATAACAATAACAAATTGAATTTACCCCCCCCCCCCAAAGTGGGGGAGCAAATATCAAAAGGATTTCTTGCCTCTGTTTACATCAGGCCTCTGGACCAGTCAATGGTCCATTAATATCACATACACATATAGATATATAGATATCTCATCTCGTGGGCTTTAGGTCAGAATCTTCAAGGGCAACCAAAAATACCCCCAGAGGACAAAAACCAACTCAAAGTAGGTCAAAACCTCCTAAAGAGACCACTAAGGCAACAAAGGATGCCAAGAGACGCCAAAATGCGTTAGATAAGCATATTTTTTTAAAAAAAAATGCATGAGGGAGGTTAAACAGAAGTCTTAGTCCTCTTCCCTAGCCAGGCTGGTCCCAGTTCCAGAGTGGTTGCTTCATCAGCACATATACTAAAATTAGAATGATACAGAGAAGATTAGTACAGCCCCTGCATAAGGATGACACGTAAATTTGTGAAGTGTTCCATATTTCACCTTGCCTCCATCCCTGGGTCTCTGAACACCATCCAGGAGAGCCTCAGAGGGACTGGTTCAACCCAGGCCTTCAGCGTCGCTACTTGCCTGAAAGACAGTTGTGGGACCATGCCAGAATTCCTCCTCCCAGAGGATATCTCTGACAAATTGAAGGCCTGGAGGGACATGGCGAATTGAAGAGGCATCGCAGCCAGAGTACAGTAGAAGTTGATGGCTAGGCAGCCTCCACAATCTGACCTCAATTCTCACTCGATTTGGTTACTATGCAGAATGGACCTTCATTACCAGCAGGTACCTCCTTCAGGGGAGTATTATATAATCCAGTTACACATTCACATGATGCACAGGATGAGGGGGAACTAGAGACCAGATGAAACAGGTTGAGGAAGGGTCTACTCACGACAGTGACCAAAATCTGTCAGAGGTGGATCCCCTAAAAAAGGGGGGCATGTCAGATGTTGAAGGCATTAAGCCAGACCACCGACCTTCAGGTCTGTTTCGCCCTCAGACTTTTTTTCAAGTCTCTGTTGTTGCTGTTTTTTTTTTTTAAAAAACTACTGCCTGCCTTGATATTCCATTCCCCTCGGCCCAACAATTGTTACTGTGAGAGGAAGTCATAACTTTCCCACAGAGGTTCTTGGACCTCGTCCAGAAACAAGGGGTCTCTTCAGTGCGGTATACCCCTCTTACAGGATATGATAGAAAATTTTTAATTTGGTTTTCTGATTCTGCTAAATTTCTCATCACCATGATGGTAGATAAAACAATAATGGCAATTATCATCCTCCTCTGCAATTCCAACGGAAGAAGAGGCTCTCAAATTAAAGGATATACAGGGTTGAGTTGTCTCCATGTAGGGCATGTCGATCTGATGTGGGGGCCATAAGAGCGGAGTCGGACGCATCCCTTTTTTTTACTGGATCGTCTCTCAGGTAGCTGTGCCATCTGAGGGAGAGTATCTCAAATTCCAATATCAGGACGCACAAGGACACCGCAAAACTCTATTAAATTATCTGCTCGAGTCAGGGCATCTCAGGTTACTCCTCGCCTACTGCTATGGCTCAGACATTGGCAAGCAGATATCACACAACTAATGGAAGCTTGCTTCCTCCCCAATATATGGAGATAATTTGGTTGGTAGTACCCCTGACCTATCTCTGATAGAGACTAGAAGCAGAGAATAAGTTCCTCTCTTTTCATAGACCCCAAAATAGTCCTTCCCAGCTTTTGGGAGGGTTCCTTCGTTCCCTCTACCAGGGACTTTTTCTTTCCAGACTCCAGGGACCAACTGGACACATGACTCACCAGTAGTCAGTTAGTTTCCGATCTGGAGATAGATACTGAAGGGGAGGGCAGACCAAAAGAATCTCTTGAGGAACATGAAATAGAGGTCTCCGAGGCACAACATAGGCCTCACAACTGTGCCCCTATTGGTGGAAGGCTCAAGCCTTTCACAGACAGACGGAATGCCTCTACCTCTGTTTCCTGGGTTAGAGATATCAGAAGATTAGGCCTGGCTATAGAATTTTCATCCTCTCCCCGGAACCTTTGCATTACTTGCCCTCTCCCCGGGGATCCTGTTAAAGGGAGCATGATGGAGACAGCAATTGTTCATTTATTGGAGATCCAGGCAACCGACCTGTGGCACCGGATCATCAGGGGCAATTTTAGTTTTAAAATGACTAAATCGGTCCATAGTTCATAGGAGGCTTAAGATGAGTATACTGAACTCCATACTTCTGAGCTTCAGAAGGGGCGATTTTCTACTCTCCATTGACTTAATGGAGGCCCATCCCCACATTCCAATTAGATCCTCGCATAGCAAACCTCTTAGTTTTTGTTATAATACTCAACGTTTTGAATATGTTGCACTGTCCTTTGGGTTGTCATCTGCCCAAGGTTCTTACAAAGGTTCTGATGGCTCTGGCTGTCCATCTCAGGGGAACACCTGTTAGACCGCAGTGTTATTTATATGACATTTCATTATTATCTTGTTCATATAAACAGGCAAAGGGGAGGCCTTAGCATTGGTCATCACTAAGAGAGACTTGCAGTCCATCTCTCATCACCCACGCATATGCAAGTTTCTTGCACGGGGCTACAATCTTACGGCCTTCTGTAGTGCATTGATATCACACGTGGGACCTCAACAAGGTCCTTACCGCACTCAAGAAAACTCCCTTTTGAGCCCATGTAGACCATGAGTCTCCGTTCCTAAAGTACAAGGTGGTTCTCTTGGTTGCCATTACATCAGCCAGTTACATCTTGGATCTAGTAGCCTTGTCAGTTAGACAGGAGCTCTGTATTTTTCACACAGACAGAGTGGTCCTTAGTCCAGATCCATCTTTCACCCATAGATAAATTTGGGTTTCCACAGACCATAGGAACTGATACTCCCATTTGTTTGTCTGAAACCAACATAAAATCTGGCATGATAATGCCACAATCTAGATGTAAGGTGACCTTTCTGCATATATTTCAACCGCACGATGTGTGTTAGAAAACGAAGGTTCTCTTCATTTCTTTTCAACCACCCACCATTGGGTGCAAGACCTCTTCCTCAATGACCATTAAGTGGCTAAGAGCACAATTCCCAAGTCCTATGAGACACAGTCTCTTCCTGTACCCAGGGGCATCACTGCTCATTCGACCTGGAGCGCTGCGATGTTGACAACATGGGCCACAAGCGCCAATAGAGAAAATTTACAAGGCGACAACATGGGCCTCACTATCGCCTTTTGTTTAGAAACTATTAGAATGATGTCTTCGCCTCTACGGAGGCTGCCTTTGACAGGAGAGTGTTACAAAGGGTCCATAGGGACCAAGAAAAAGGGGAATCCGAACCAGACAGAAGCCCTCCCATAGGATACGCCAAGCTTTGGTATATCCCAAACAGTGGATGCTCTGAACAGCTCATCTGGAGAAGGGGCGTTGGTACTTACCTGACATGCCCTTTCTCTGTGAGCTGTGAAGAGCATCCATCCTTACCCTTATTCGTCTGGTGGGATGCTATTTCAGCCAAGTATTAGGGTGAAGGAGAAGAAATATTTCATCACTTGGACTTCGCCAAAACTGGGGACGCTAGGGAGGAGTCCTGTGGAGGAGGAGGAGCGTCCTCTCAATTAAAGCCCAGCCTATCAGACGAGTGACAGAAGCATCATCCCAAACAATGGGTGCTCTTCACAGCTCACAGAGAAAGGGTGTGTCAGGTAAGTACCAACGCCCCATTTATTAAAATTTTCTCTTTGTCTCCCTTCAGGAATAACTCCTGTAGTTTTAAAATGTCCCCTTTGTAAATCCTAAATAAAAAGACTTTCCAAATCATTCTTCTAATGTATTATTTCTATGTTCTCTTTAGTTATTAGGATAACAGCTAAAGTAGTTAAGAGAAGAAGTGGGTAAACCCACTGTCCCTTTGAAGGTACTGAACTTTGTCTTAGGCAGGATTATTATTCCCTGGCTCTCAGAGCTTTCAAACTGATTGAAGATTTCTATTTTATGATCACTTCATTGGCAGACTCTGTATGGAGAAAACTTGTGGGTGATCCTAATCCTTTCCTTACTCCAGAGAGGAATTTCAAGGAGCTGATCTGTTTACTTGCTTCTCTTATTGCCAAGTTCTTACAGAACTGTCTTCAGTCTGCCATTGCTTTCCCAGAAGTTCCCCAACCGTGTCTTTTTTCAGTATGTTCTTTTTTTTTTAACCACCTACTCTAACCTACATCCTTAAGCTTTTCTGGTGGACTAAGTAACTGGTGCAAACCTGCTTAGCTTTCTTAGATCAACCAAGGATTGCTGGAAGCTACCATATATTAGACACTTTTAGTCAGTGGTGGGATTCAATTTTTTTTACTACTGGTTCTGTGGGCATGGCAGGGGAAGGATACTGTAAAATCTCCATTCCCTCCCCACTCCTGGGGGAAGGTTACTGCAAAATCCTCATTCCCTCCCCATCCCACTAACCTGCTTTCCAGCTCCGTTCTCCTGTGCAGGGCAACAAAAGAAGACCCAGCCAATCAGCTGGGACTTGGAGGAAGAGAATAGATGGGGACGGGCCAGTCAGAGGTGGTATTTGCTGGTTCTCCAGACTACTCAAAATTTCTGCTATCGGTTTTCCAGAACTGGTCAGAACCTGCTGAATACCACCTCTGCATTTAGTACCACTTTAAACTTTAAGGTATAATTCACACAACACAAAAAAGTCTTCAGACCTAGAACAATAAAAAGTACATCCCATTAATGTACAAAAGTTGACAGTAAGTTAAAATAGGTAAGCTGAAGAACAAGAAGAATTCTGCAGTATTGTATCTGAGGCCTTTACAGCAACTACTGTGTTTCTCCAACAATACACCCGCCCCATAGGAAGACTTATTCAGCCTACAAAAAATCCTGCAACAGTAGTCTTGATTGGGATCACTGGGTTTTTAGATTGAGATCAGCCATATTTTGTGTATGAGAATGAAGGGGTGAAAATATTCTTCCATGGGTACTTACTGGATCCATGTAATTTCTTCCTTAAAATGACTTACAATTCCTGTGTTTATGACAAGGTAATATGTTGTTCTGTAAATAACCTGTTAGCTGGATGAAAAAAGTATCTTTTCATGTGAAAATACGGATAGAAATAATATAGTGACTGATACCCTATTTGCATGTGTACTTTGGATGGGATAAATTGATGTAGATGTTAAATCATAACAACCTTGTGGGCAAAATATCAAATTTTGATTTATCAGATCTCCTTCACAATTTTGGACAAAAGCCAATAGCTAAAGGGATGTATTGTTAATTTTATAAAATGCTGAACTGATTTCTAGTTGATACTTGTTCTGATGATCTCTGGAGAACATCACACACTGAGGCATAAAGTAATGTTCTGCAGTCAGCAGAACTGCCAAAGTTGCTTATGTAAAATATTGATTTGGTTATCCTTAAATGTATTCTTCAGGAGACTCAGTGAATGAACACATACCTAAAATCAAGTCTGTGTAAATCTGCTCAGTTTTCATATGGCAACTGACTGCAAGTGACATCTTAGAGGTCAATGTTAGATAAATGAGATAATATTTTATTTCTAAAAAGTAAAAAATCGAAATGGTATGCTGATGACAATGGATTATTTCTTTTCCCTCTATTCCCTTTTTGCATTTTATTTGAAATAGGTTAGTTATTAGAGCTTTGTGACTCTGAAGGCCAGACTTGTCAGCATTGCTTTTTATTTCATAAATAACTCTCTAAAACAAGAATGAGGACCCAGACTCCTATATTCAATTCATATTCCCAGCAAAAGACTGCATGTTTCCTAGATTGTAGGCCAAAAGAATGCCTCAAACTTTAACCTAACCTAGCCAACATCGATCCCAGTAATTTAAATTAAAAATATCAATTTTTCTTGGAGAAGCTAGGCCTAGCTTTCTAGAAAATATATCTACTTGATTATTTCAAACTAATACTTTCTGTTATTAAAGTGTATTAAAACATAGAAGTAAGTGACATCCAGGAACTAATTTTCTTTGTCTTCTGTCTATGTAACCTCTTGAGTTGTCTGTGTATTGAGAAAATTAAAAAAGACCTTTGATTATCCAGAAGCATATTTGCTAGCATGTTTAGTTCTTTTTTTGGAAGGTCTTTTGATGCAATTCTCTTGTTTCCTTACTCATCTCTGTGGTAGTGGAAAGGAATATGTGTCTTGGAAGCCTGTTAATTGCAGCCTGTATTTAGTGGGCAGTGTTTAAATTGTCAAATATGTTCGATGTTTCCAGGAGATCCATCTACAGTAGAATATCCACCAGTATATGAATACAGATATTGTGGGGGATAAAGGCTACATTCCTACAAGTGATGAGGGACAAGACAAAGAAAGGAAAAAAAAACAGGACGAACTAATGGCTTAAATTTGTTAAATTTAAATTGATTAAGTGTCAGTATTATTATTTCCTGAACATTTGATAATTTTCTCTTGTTTATCACATTTAAAGTTATAATGTGAGATGGCAAGCTTTGGAAGTACTCTGGAATTGGACCTAAAAGATTAGTGTGTGATATTGCTCCTCAACTTGATTAATTATGAATTAAGTACATCATTAAGTACATCATTTGATTAAGTACATCATAAATCAAATTATTATTTTCACATGATTTAGTTGGACTTCTGGAATCCTTTGAATTTTGAGGATTATTGATTATAATTTTAAGTTTTCCAACAGTTACAATTAGAAGGAAGAATAAAGTATGGTAGAACATTGAAGTCTTATTAGCGTTATGATCAATTCTTTGCTGTAAAATAACAGAACTTATTAAGACTAAGAATCTTAAAAATAGTATTATCCCACATCAATGCTGCTTTTAATCAGATGCTTCCTATGGAATCTCACATAAGAGTTAGTTGATGCAATCTTCACGTAGTGAATGCAAACAATTAGTGTAGTTTAGGATTATTCTATTGATCAGGCCAATCAATTCAACTGTCTAGTACATTTACAATATTCACATGTTTCAAATCTTCATTCAGAAATCTGTGCTTTTATTCAGAACTTTTCTGGAGGAAAAGAAAAGCATGTTGAAACTAACCTCTAAGCCCCAGTGTCTGGCAGGATGTGGAAGAGGGAAAGCAATATGATCTACCCTGCCCTTTGGGAATATCTTGCGCATGTCTTTACAAACAGGTTTGTACAAGCTGCAAGCGTATGGGCTGTTCGGCTATGGAGCAGCCCCTCCAGGCATGTAGACTTTTTGTGGAGCAGAACAACACAGGGGGCAGGAGGGTAGCTTTTGAAGGTTACGTTTGTGTTGGCTGCACTCCTGGCTTAGAGAGAGGAAAGGCAATACCCTAAGGCTATTTCTGGGTGGTGGTAGTTTCAGCTAGAAGACATGTAGCTGCTTGAGACGAGCACATTTTTGCATGGTGTTTTGTGTGGTTCCCCCCCCCCCCAAGTTCTGGAACTCCTATTAATTTTTTGGAAATTATTTTTAAACCTTTGGCATAGATTTATATCCAATCTCTCCTCTTCCCAGAAAGCTTTTAAAAATGAGTTGCATAACTTGGATTGTTTTTTTCTTTAGAAATCAGAATTAAAAGTAAGGGCTAACCTGCACTGATGCTTCATTGTTTTCAGCTAAATCTCTAGGCCCTTTTTTCTGATTTAACAGAATATTTAACGGAATAACACAGTGGGAAGGACCTTGGAGGTCTTCTTGTCCAACTCCCTGCTTAGGCAGGAAACCCTTGTTGGAGCCTTCACAACTTCTGAAGGCAAGTTGTTCCACTGATTAATTGTTCTGTCAGGGAATTTCTTTTTAGTTCTAGGTTGCATCTCCTTGATAAGTTTCCATCCACTGCTTTCTGTCCTGTCCTCAGGTGCTTTGGACAATAGCTTGACTCCCTCTTCTTTGTAGTAAACCCTGAGATACTAGAACATTGCTACGTCATCTCTAATTCTTCTTTTCATTAAACTAAACATACCCAACTCCAGCAACAGTTCTTTGTATGTTTTAGCTTCCAGTCAATCATCCTTGTTCCTCTTCTCTGCACTCTTTCTGGAGTCTCAACATCCTTTTTTGTGTGAAATATGACTCAAGTAAGAAATAGCTCTGTGCTGCTGTAGATTGCTCTTGTTAGGAATATATTTTTGTCAGCTGTCATAAGGATTCAGGGACAAAATGGCAAGTTTTGCAAAGAGGGGATAAAACCTATGAAATGCCAAGCACAGTTTTATTGTATTCAAAAATTTTAAGACCAGAGTATATTTGGAAGATGTGCTGAAATAAGAATGGTAGGATATGGGCAGAAAAGTGAATTATAAACTTAAGTTTTAATTAAAGGTTTAATTTACAAACTGAAATTCAGTGACAAAAAGGTAAACATTAGAATAAGAAAGATTATTTCCTGTTAATGGAAATCATGGAGAACCAGTGAGAAGATAACCCAACCCATACCCTTTGAACAGGTTGATGGGTCAGTATGCGTTTTTGAGGACCATGGAAGTCTTTCCTTCCCCTTAACTGTAGAAAATTGGAAATTTACAGGAAATTCCTGAAAAAAGGCATTGATGGTGTTATCTGGTTGGGTAATGAAATGCTTATAAGGAAACAACCAAACTCAGTTCCAAGCACTCTACAATTCAGCCCTGAACTATACATATACTCTTCTACTGAAAAAAGCAATAAATATGGACACATTTTTGTTTAAAAAAGTGGGTTTTATTCATTGTAAACTGATTTGAGTTGGTGTTACAATAATGCTGATCATTTTAGTTGGATCTTAAAGAGAACTGACTTTCAGTAGCCTTATACTGTACTTTCCCATCCTGGAATTAAAATTAAAACTGATTTATTGGTTGCTATTATCAGTTCTTAAACTTTGATGAAATTTTATTATATTACTTTTCAACAAAGTCTGATAAATAATTTTGATTTTGCAGAGGATCTTGGGGCCCCCAGAGATTCCTGGCTCATATTTTGAGAAACACTGGTCTAGATTATTAAATATTTAAGATGGAGTGATGTAAGTATTGTGCTGTGAAGTAGATTTTTCCAGAATCTTAGCTGAGTGCCTGTTTAGTAAACTATAAGTATGAGGCCCCATTTTGCATATATCTGCATTAAAAAGGCTTTTTTCAAGATGTTTGAAAGTTAGTATCAGATTTCAGTGTACGAATGAAGGGTCCTTTGCAATCTCTGAACTAGGTTGTTTTCTTGCAGATGTTTCATTACTCAAACTAGGTTACATCATCAATGCTCATCATCATCATCATGAGCACTGATGATATTACTTGGTTTGGGTAATGAAATGTCTGCAAGAAAACAGTCTACCTCCAAGAGCACCAAGAATCCCTTATCTCAGGGCTGTCAAACTGCCGGTTCATGGGCCATCACGTGCCCATGCCCGGTTTAGCGAAGGGGGAAAAGGTCCTGATACATCGTGTGATGTTGCTGTGACTACATGAGTTTGACAACCCTGCCTTATCTCAACCCTGAGCTACAAATATTTTCCTTTATTGAATGGTATCATCATATAGAAAAAAAAAGTTACAGATGGTAACCGTTGATATTAATGATTTGCCATGTTCTGCAAATAACTTAGTTATTTGGAGTTTACGAGCCAGAAATATATATGAATGGCAACTTGGAGAATGAGCTGCTTTGGATTAAGCAAAGACATTTTGGAGTGCTATTAATTATTACTAAATAAAAAAATGTAATAAAAACTTGATATACCATACCCCTCCTCCAGAAATTTACTTTCTGTAAGGAATTCTGCGGGGAACACTGTCAGTTCAGGTGTGGAAGAGCTTTAACGTTGTCATTACATGCTTAAAGCTGTTTCTTTCATCCTGAAATCTATTGGTTTATCATAGTAGCTTCTTAAACTGTTTTTCACAGTTTACGAAGACCATTAATTCTTTTGGAATTTTTCATCAATTCTTTTGAAATTTTTCATTAATTCTTTTGAAATGTAACTATGATAGTGATATCATAGTGAGCCTGGTTGGGATAATGGGAACTTGTTCACCCCTGTGCTGTAAGCTGCTAATAACTACCAAATATCCTTCAGTGTTGAAGGACGCCGCTAGTCCAATGTCTAGTCATACTTATGTGTTGTCTGAAATACTGCCTGCTTCAGGAGTAAGTGCAAGTTTGAATACCACCGCTTTTACAAAGCTAGGAAGTGAACAGTGACTGTCACCTCCACTCATCGTCTTTGTCATGCTGTATGATTCCATTTTGTTTATTGGTTACAATGGCTTACTAAATTCATTTCATAATACATGTCACTCCTTTTTGTTGACGTAAAACTTGAAGTATTGTTTTTTAAGTAGCTTTTCAGCAATTCACAGATCATGATCACATTTCTGGGCACAAGAAGCATGTATCTCAGGTTTTGGAGATAAAATTGCAATCCTAAAGATTTAAATACATACAGTATATTCCTGTTTCTTTTGCAATATGCTGAGTTACTGTCCCATCCCTATGAAAGTGACTGGTACTTTGGTTGATTTTGTTGTTGCATGAACTAATTTTTTTTAAAATAACATAATACCAATGAAGAAAGCTTTTTGATTGTTCTTCTAGCTTTTCCATCTTCTACTCCCAATAGGAAGCCTTTAATGCGTATTTTTTTCTAAATAATGTTGCATGTGAAATTGGAAATTTTACTCTGTTCTCATAATAAACAGTCATTTCATGTGAGGTTCTCCCCTCCCTTCTGGTGGATTCCAAAGCCTTTGTACCTTTCCTGGTTACTGATTGATGGTTCTGTACTGTGTTTCCTTTAATTTTGCAATAAACCAACAAGGAGGCTGAGACCACAAGTTTACAGAGGATGATTTATTTACTCAACCAGATTTGCAGGGATGACAGAGTCAGATTTAGTAGTTTCAGTGTGGTCCTTGGGAGGGCAGAAGATGTATCTGAGAAAAAAGCACCATAGAAATAACATTCTTATTCATCCATATAGAAGCAGTTTTAATTTTGTTTCTTGAGCAGTTATAAGCAGGTACAAGATTACACAAAGATGGACATTAAAGGGAATGCTACTATTAAATTACTAATTTCCCATAACCTTAAAAAAACCCTGCAATATTTCTGTTACTATATGATTTTTCCCCCATTTCTGCGCAGAATAGAACAGGAAATCTGAGAATACTCTTAAAATACTCTACATATGATTTTTTTAAAAATCTGTTTTTAGTATGAGCCTTCCTTAATCACAGTCAAAATGAAATGTGTCTGGTATGCCAGCTTCCTTTTCAGTTCTTCCACAGAAAAAAGGACCCTCTGAGCTGGGTCCTTTTTTGATATAAGAAGGCAGCTTGAATAGAAAAAATTATTGTTAAAAAGTGGTACATAAGGCTTCTATATTATACCGCATTTTTTGTGTTTTATTTCTTAAAGTGACTGCATATTCATTAGGAAATATCAAGTCAATTTATGAAATTGAAAATATCCAAATGAAATCAAATACAGTGTAGTCCTAGATCACCAACAGGAATTATCCATGAGAAAATAAAGCGATGTATGTTCAGCAGTTAATAAAATTGCAATTCCAAGTCTATTGCATATATAATATCTTTAAATACTGGACCTTCCATAGTAAGAAAGATACAAGTAAATATGTTTCAAATATTACTCATTGAATATTGTATGTATTATAACACATTATTTAACTACCCTCTAGTAGACTTTATATTTACAAAGTATTTGACCTTATAGGTAGGGCGTTATAAGTCAAAATCAAATATTGAATTGAGCAAAGTGTCTGGATGTGTTTGGTATTTAAAGTTTAAAATACGCAATATTCTGCCTTGTAAGCTGTAACTAAGCAGTGGTGTTATATATCTGGAATTTCTGAACCATCTTCAACATATTATAGTAATTTAAATCCACGGCTACAAAAGCAGGAAATTTAACATTTTTGGGAATTTGTTTCACAGATACTTTGGAAGATGCAATGACTGAACACAAGCTATTCTCTTCCCAGCTGGTTTCCCAGCTTTGGTTAATAATTTTGAAAGAGCTAAAGCTGTTTGGAAATGTAATTGTTTAGTAAGTGAATAATTTCTACATTAGGTTATAATTATTTAGCTCTATATATTTGTTGGTTTTTTTCTTTTCTTTTTTTGTAAATTTTATTTGAGTTTTCACAAAGAGAAAAAAAAATACAAATAAAACATCTTTTTTGAAAGCAGCATAATCCCGGGTTACATTTCTTCGTACAGACACAAATTCAGGTTCATGCTCATTTTTATATTCTATTCCACTTCTTATTACTATTTTACATTTTCTGCATAGCTTCTCCCCTCTTTTAATTTTCTCAATTTTATTTTAATTATCTCAATTCAGATCATTGTATTTATATTTTTTGTCTGTCCTGTTTCAATTATCTATTATCTTTTCTCATTAAACAAAATTTCTCCTGTAGTTACTGATTGGAGTATGACGCCTTTATATCTTTTCCCTAAAGTTGTAACATTCAATATAATACATAACTTCCATTCGGATTCTGCTTGGTACATTCTTAAAATACACACTGTATTCTTAAAAAAAGAAAAAAAATTATAAATGTATATAATTAAAACAACATTCCACTCCAATTCAATTCTATCATTAATATTAATATTCATTAAAGTCTTAACATCTTTAACATTACTTTTCAATCAAATATCATACTTCTATGGGAACAATTATAAGCTTTCCATAGTTAATTCCCCCCCTTCACTTATATTTTATAAAACATCAACTAATTAAAATGTTCCCGTTCCTTCCTAATTCAATTTTCTCATTTATTTTATTTCACTTATTTTATTCACAAACGTTTCACTAAATTACACTATTTTATTCCTCATTTTAATCATACATTGTTTCCAATTTTCTAAAGTTATTTCTATTACTAATATAACAATACAATCTTATGTACCTTTACAGAATCCCTTTTTCAGTTAGATTTTCACCCATTGTCTCTAAATAGATCCTGTTTCTCTATATCTTGCTCCAGTCCTTTGTAACTTCTTTTCCTTTCCTTCTTCCCTCTCTTCTCTCTCCCCTTTTTACCCCCTTGTCTCTCTACCTCTATTTCTCTCTTCTGTATTCCCCTTTTCTGTTGCTTTCCAGTATTATACTTATTTTTTGAATTATTTTTCTTTTCTTTGGTTGTTTTTTTAAGTCTTAAATTCTCCATTCTCTTTCCCCCCTTTCCTTTTTCTTCCCCACATAGAATTACTTGTTCATTAAAGATGGCTTCTTCTTTGTCCCAGTCTTTTTGTTTTGCAGTCTTGTTGTTTCTCATAGTTCCAAATCTCCATTTCTAAGAATTGAAAGATGAAGCCAAAAGAACCCTTCCCTTCTTGTGCATCTTCTTTGTACTTTTTAAGTTCCATTTTCAATTTATCCAGAAGTGGTGCCATTGTATAAATTTTTAAACAACCACCCAATTGATTTTAGTCATTCAAATATAATAACCAAAAATCCAAAGATCACCAAATAATCCAAATACATGCAAGCTGTTTCTTTTTGCTCTTTTTTTTCACTTTCTCTTCCTGAGGTTACTATTTAGTTGCAAAGTTTCAGTTAAAATGTATCTTTTAGAAGTCTTGTTGAAGTTTTATTTTAGATTCTTTTTAATTCCAGGCAGTCTCCTCCCTCTTCCAGATCCTGCCCTTATTCTTTTTTTCTCCTTTCCTGCTTATGAAAAAGAAAGTTTTTAATGTCCAGAAATCTTTATTATCCCTTTGGCATTTTGTTTTATTTTCAGCTTAATTGCCTATTGATTCAAAGCGGATTTTTCTGATTTCTTATTTAAGTCTCTTAGTTGTCAGTATAGGGAAGGAGAGAGAAGAAGAAAAAAGCCAAACCTTTCCCTTTTCACTTTCCTTCACTGCTACCGACTCTTCTTTGGGAGCAATGTTATTTTTTGTAATTTTAAATTCCAGAGTACCTTGGTTGTTGCTTTTACAATTTAATCCGGTCAGTCAAAACTTTCACTTCTTATCTTCCTTCTGCACATTCTTTTCCGGTCGAGTTCTTCTTTGTGGTGGCCATTTCTGACCACCGCTGCAACCACCTTCGGGAAAGGGAGTAATGGCCAGCTGAGGAGGAGAGATGCAGCTCTCCTCGACCCTGCTGGTGGTCTCCCCCCTCTTCACCACCTCTATGGGGTGGCTTAGCCCCGAGACCAGCCGGCTCGGGGCGCTCCAGCTGCGAGCCCAGACAGAAACCATGCACGATCGCAGATTTCTGTCTGTCGCCGAAGCCCTTCAAACCGGAAGTCCTGTGTTGGTTTTTTCTTATTTATCTTTCATGCAATTTATTGGCCGTGCCAATCTATATATATTATTCTCTTCCAAGGATCTTATGGCAATATAGATGAAATTATCTATTTTGTCCTCATAATAACTCTGTGAGCTGTATATATGTATGTATATGTATTTGTGTGTGTGTGTGTGTATTTTAGATATATAAATACACAGGGATATATACATATAGATATATCCATACATTTATATTGAACATTTTCAAATATCCTGTTGTAATGAGGTATTTTCTTGTAACTGGAAACTAGCAGAATAGGACTTGTTTAATGAAATGGACTATGAATTACAGAAATTTAGTTTGAAAAAGAAATATATAAAAGTGGTATGATATGAACAAGCACACAATGGTACAGAATTCAGTTTACATTGGAACAAATTTGAAATGACCGCATCACACATGGGTTCTCTTGACATTTGTGAATAATATAGTTAGTGTAAAACATCTGCCAATAAAAACTTTAGGCCATGTCATAATGTGGCTGCATATTCTGTACATTAATCTAAAATGTTTCCTATTCCTTTTTTCACTGTTTAGTCTTTATATTTCTATTCATTTGGAACTGGTATTGGATTGGTATTATTAGTTCTTGCTTTAATATGAATCTATACTAATATTGAACCACTTTAGCAAATATTGTTATGTGAAAGTCATCAATATTCTATCTATCATGTTGAGTTTACTACTGTGGTGCTTGAATTACTGTATTCTGGATTTTTGTTTCTTTGCCTCTTGTAGTCTTTCAAATCTCTTCTAGTAATGATGGTAGCAAGATATAATTTATTTATATACAAAAAATGACCACCAAATTGTGTTCGTTACCTTTCGAATGTCCATCACTGGTCCTTATAAGGTTCCCAAGAACCCTAGAAAAATTGAGTTTTGATTTCAGAATGAATTTCAGATTTCTGTCCCAATGCTTGATGATGAAGATGATGGTATTTAAACTGAGATTATTTTATCTTTTGTCTAATTCTTTATTGTGCAAGGATGATGGAAACTACACAGTTGTAGCCAAACTTATGATAATGCTGTTTTGGAAAACTATTGCCAGCCACTGAGTTATGCAAGGAGGAAGCAGAGGTGGTATTCAGCAGGTTCTGATCAGTTCTGGAGAACTGGTAGCAGAAATTTTGAGTAGTTCGGAGAACTGGCAAATACCTCCTCTGACTGGAGATTTTACAGTATCCTTCTTCTGCCACACCTACCAAGCCACGCCACAGAACCAGTAATTAAAAAAATTGAAACCCATCACTGGGAGAAAGGTATAGTTATATTAATATCCTTCATCTAGCCATTGCATCATTATCAAGTTGAATTCTATGAGAAGACAGTGCTGGAGTCTTGATTGCAATATTGACTGGCAACAGTTTTCCAATTTCCAGATAGGAGTCTAACAATATTTGGATTTGACTTTGTGCTTCCTATATTCAGAATATTTGCCCTTTCACTATATTGTGACAATATTCTAATATGGATCATCTAAGATAACTGGATGTACAGTATCTTCCCATCTTAGCATATAGTTGTAATGATGAGGTGCTCCAATTTATTTTTAACCTTTGTCTTTTTTATCTTTTATTATATAATTTATTCACACTGTACTAGCTTGGTATATCCAGCTGGCTCTTTATGTTGTCTTAGAGAAGAACTATTTTAGTTCTTCTATACTGCTTTGAGGCCCTGTAGCATATATCACATTTCATTCTGGCTTCTCTGGGCTTTCTACCTCTCTACTACTTTTCCTTTTCAACAAAGAAATTTCTTCCTTTTTTCCTGACAAATAAATTAGGTATAATATGAAGCCATTTAGTCATCTTGAGCTGAGTTTTGAAAAGATCTGCTCTCTTTAACATTTTATTAAGATGCTTGATCCAAATGTTTGAGAAAGAAATTGAAATGATGAATGTTATGGTGGGCGTTGAAGGTTGTCTATACATTCTGTATATATCTGAGGTAACTATTGTGCCTATCTTGTAATTCTAATACTTTTTCCTCCTCCATGTCTGTTTGCAGGTAATCTTGACGAATCAGATCACCACATGGCTAAGTGATGGCCTTGCTGTACAGGCAGACCTCCTGTCTCCAGTTGATGACTTGTCCCTGTCTGAAGGTAAGCAGTCCTTTTTATTACAGTTGAAACATGACTCTGATACACATCTCCTCAACCAATTGTAACATTCATGTTTAAGGAACAACCCCAATATAGTTATCTGGCTCAACATAAAATGAAGCTAGAGTTTAAAAGAATAAATTTCTAAAGTTGATTTAAGACCAATAGTTTAATTGATCTTAAATCTATAGCTTGGATAGGGTAAGGAAAGTTAATGTGTTGATGGTTTGTTTGGAAATAAATAATACAAAACACTCATTCAGCTGGTGCATTACAGTTAAAGGAAGTTATTAGATATTTTTGTCAATCTAGTATAACTTGGTGATGTGTATTTATCAGTTATTGAAAAAAAAAGTAAGGCTTGTTATATAAAAACAAATATTATCTTGTGAATCTGTTGGATTCTCTTACAATGTGGTAAAGTGCAGATATAATGCAGACTGAAATTTAAAGAAACCTTAACCTTGCATCTGATAAGGATAACAAAATTATGCACTTTGAGCAAAATCTTTCATTTAACCATATGTGTTTTCTCTTTCCTTTGTTATATATTTTACTAACAAAATACTGCATACTTTTGATTTTCTGGCACAGCTTTCTAGACCTGGAGTTAACGTGAATGTATACGATTTAAGAAGTAAACTTTTTTCTAGGTCTGTTACCTTAGAGGAGGCAAGCAGTTCTTTGTGCAACACGGATAAGCAATTATTTCACGGAGGAATAGCTGGAAGACATAATTTTCTCATTCTAATGTAATAGAAACCTAACATACTCAAGATAAAAAAGTAACAAAAATAATGAGTATTCCACATTAGAAGACATTGATTTAAAAAATCTACCTATAAATGCTTATGTACTATATATGCATAGTTATTTGGTTTTATACACTTCTGTTTGTTATGGCTATGTGACCCACCAACAGGGCAGTACGGTTGTATCTGGTCATTGTCACTCATTTAGCACCGCACAGGAAACACATGTAGTTTAAGGAATGCTTATTGAATTGGACATCCAGTTATAGGCCACTGCCGTTTCCCCATAGAAGTTTTGCATATAATTCATGCAGACTCTGTAAGAAGTAAGAGGTTACTTTTGTCATGTTCTCATCATATTTAGACTTATAATAACTTTATGGTCCCTTTAAATATACACTAATCGGCGTACATTTTAATGTATACATTAAAATATTCTAAATAAAATAAATAATAGTTATTTGATGGAATCACAGACATCTATTTGGGAAGCAAACAGAAAAAGATATGGGTATAATTCATACAAAAAGAAGAAGATTGAAAAAAAAAGAAAACAGCTACATTTAGTACTGTAGACTGAGGGGTGGGGAGGAGTTAACAAGGAATGGTTTAAATACAGATCAAATTATTACAGTTGAAAGAGAAAAGTGTTTTTCTCTGGTTAAAGAAGTGATTTAAAAATGTGAAAGAAATGTAAAAATGTGAGGTGGCTTGAAATGTACATCCCCGAGCTACAGTAATCTTTACTAATTCTTATGAAAGTGACATGTACAAAGAATCTTTTTTTTGGTTCTGCAGAGTTGTTTAAGGAAAGTGTCTCAAATATAAGCTGTTCCAGCATGTTAGAAACCAAAAAACACTTGAGGGAATAACATTTTATACATGGTGGGTTGTTCCCTTCATTGTTACAGCTGCAAACTTTTAAGATCTACTATAAACTTGTTTGTACAAGCTCTTCATGAGTTTGTCTCTATGTTCTGAAATAAAGTGATTCATGATTTGTTAAATATTTAGCTTTACTAGAAAGTTAAAACAAATCATAAATGATTAAGTAACTTAGCAGTTGCAATTCATAAGGATTAGCTTCCTGCAATTAAATATGTTGAGTTGATAATAAAATATCTGGATTTAGTTATTCAGTTTATTTCAATTGACAAACTCCAGTTTCTAAGAGCATCAGATTTCATCTTGCCTTCCAATATCTATCTTGGTATTCCTCTCACTAAGTATATGGTGTTGAGGGAAGAGAGAGAAAAACTTAGTGGGTTGGTTTTAGGAGAGAGACAGAGATATCACACACTATAACTTCTGTAGGAGAATCCCAGAACCAGGGGGCAGGACTAGATGAGAGTTGCAACCAATAAGAAGTCACCAGGCCGGGACGTTACAGAGGCAGTATGAAAAGCTGAGCCAATTAACTTCCAGGGATGATTGACTTAACCTGTGGTGAGCTCTCAAAGTTCCATGCCATCATGGGATCTGGAAAGTGGTGGCCTTAGAACAATGCTACTTAATAGCTGGTAAATAGTAAAAGTGTTTCAAAATGTTTCACCTGTGCATACTTAAAACAATTCCCTTAAAAAATAAACTGAAAGGAAATGGGGATTATGTTTAAACTGTTAGTGAAATTAATTCTCTAGATAAGTCTGTGAACGTGATGTTTCAGTTATGCACTCAGGTATGCTCTAGCACTGAAAAAAACTAAACTTGTTTGTAACTTTCATACTATCGCATAGCCTCTTAACAAAGTAATTTTATTCTTTAACACAATAGCTGCTATACCGAAATGCAGTATGTTGTCCAGATCACAGCTATTTGAAATTGGGTCAAATGATGGCATTTTGGAAAAAAAGAGAGAGAAGTAAACTTGACATTCAGTATTCCTATGCTTAAGGTGAAGGCTGTGAATTCTAACTACTTCTTAGTCACCATAGGAACCTGTGAAAGGGCAAGAGATTATGTATAAATAAACATTGCATCTCTCTTGTTACAGAGAAGTTCAGACATGCTGGCTGTCTGCACATGTGTAATCTATGCTTTGTTTATTTATTGGCATCACAATGACATCTTGGCTAAAAGATCCATTATAGTCCAAATAAAGCTGCCAGGAATTAGGGAAAAAAAGATTGGTGAAGCAGGGTGAAAGATTGGTGAAAAGATGATTAGAAGTAAATTGTGTTAGAGTGGCCTCAACTGAATACGTACTTCCTCTCAGGCAGCTCTGTACACATCATGGGTAAATGCTTACCTGACTACCAGAGGATAAATAGTGCTTACTCTAATCTCCATTTTCCAAAGTTCTTTTTGTTTTGAAACAATAATATATAACTACTTGGACTCCATTTCCTTTTCCTACTTCTTTCAGTTTTCTGAATCTACTTTTTCTGATCCTTATGTAGCCCACACTATTTCACTGGCATTTAATTCCCCTGGTATCCAGCTTCCAAACATAGCTCTGCTATTTCTATAGCACTATTTTCATAGTCCTAATTTGGCAAACAGTTTTAATTACCTTGCTTTCATTGTGCTTGGTATTTAGGTTTAGAGTATTAAAAGTAGTATATTGACCATGTCCTAAGAATTGGAATATTAATCAGTTCCCTTTCCTAGAGCATTTCAATGGTAAAAATAAAAGCTTTTGAACCTTATTGATTGTGCTTAGCCTACTTTTATCACTTATACCATTTCCTATCAAATCAAAACATAGATCATAAACACAGTTCCGGAAACAATCTTATGTATGCATTTGTTTTTATGCTACATACAAGTTGAGGCATGTTGGAAATAGAATACATAATAGGCATTCTTAACATATCTCATAGAGACTAATGTGCTATTTCTATGCACAGGGAAATCTTTATTAAAAATAGAGGAAATAGTTTGGTTTTTATTTTTCTTTAATTGTAAACAATTACAGAGTTACAAGGAAACTTAAGTATTCAATTAAGCCTTGAAGAGCAGGATTTACTATGTCTGACAGCTATATGTGTTTGCCAGATGCTTTTGAATTGTCATTTTATTTTTCCACATCCTTAAAAAAATGTTTTATATTATGGCTCATGATTAGTTACTAATGTTGTTCAAATACATTAAAATGTCAACTATTTCCCTCATTAGGAGAGTGGGAGGATCAAGCTAGTCCTTTTCAAATATATATAACTCATTTCTTGTGCTATTGATTACCATAGATTAAATAATAATCATTAATGAGTGGAGGGTAAGGAAAAGACCATCATTTGGCCTGAGCGGAGAGAGACAAAGAGCCACTGTGTATATCCCGGGCCTTAAGGAATATATTGCGAGGTGAGGAGGACCCTGGTGATAAGAACGGTCATTAAGAAAGCAGTTGGATGCTTCTTTTTCTGTTTATATGAATATAAGAAGAGTTTGGAGTGTGAAGGCATGAAGACTGGTGGTTGGGGCTTGATTTTAGGAGATGCATCAGGAAAACTGGGGAGAAACAAGCATAAAGAATAACTTGGCAGATAAGGTGGGGAAACATCCTGGATGACAATAGCTAGCCTCTTTTCCTTTTGGACTTAAGTGATTGTATTGTAACAGTTGTGATTGTAGCCTCTTCAGCTAAAATTTCTGATCTTCAATGCTAGTTCAGTTGCTGTCACATCTATTATCCAGTATTTAATCCAGGATGAAGGTAATGCTCTGGCTTGTATCACAAAGGCCTGGTGTAAAGAAGGGTGGTGGTGCAGGTGAATTTACCTTGATGTCTTCCAGTTCTTTTTCCCAGAAATGATATAGTAAAGGGAAATGATACAGCACACTAAAATCAGAGTTGTCTGTGGGGAGTCCATCTACCAGCAGATGCTCTAAGTATATCAATTTTGAATACTTGTTGCTCCATTTCAGTAGCTATGACAGTACAACTGAGCCCAAAAGACAGATGTTACAACCACAGTTGAGCCCAAAAGACAGATGTTAAAGTGAGTTTTGTCCCATTTTTACGACTTTTCTTGCCATAGTTAAGTGACTCGCTGCAGTTGTTAAGATAGTAGCACGGTTGTTAAGTGAATCTGGATTCTCCCTTGATTTTGTTTGTCAGAAGATCAGAAAAGAAGATTACATGATCCTGAGACCCTGCATCTCTCATAAATATGAGTCAATTGCAAAGTTTCTGATTTTTGATCACGTGACTCTAGGGATGCTACAAAGGTTGTAAGCATGAAAAATGGTCATAGGTCACTTTTCTCAGTGCTGTTGTAACTTTGAATGGTTACTAAACAAATTGTA